TTGGTCTCTCTCAGCGCCATACTGTGGGAGAGCAGATGCAGAGAATAAATCTTAATTCCAGTAATTTAGTCTAGTCTCAGTTGCTCCCCACACTTAACCACCAGTGCAGGAGTAGAGGTTGTACATAATCCCAGCAGCATGGACTCTAACCCACCTGATCTGACCTAGCTACCATTGCACTACTGCCAAACATCAATTACTTGGTGCCAGACAGAATCCTTCAAGAGACCACATAGTGGCAAGTAGACTATATTGGCCCCATTTTATCCCTGGAAAGACTGTAATTCTTTAGTATAAACATATTCAGAATATGAGTTTGCCTTTCCTGCTTACAAGCCTTCATGCAATACTGCTCTGTAGCTGGGCACTCGCCCATGTTAGCAATCTGCAGGAAGAAAAATGCACTGAACTTTTATAAAATGTGTACTATGTGTCAAGCTCTGTGTGAGTTCCCAGGGATGAACAGGCAAACAGGTCCTGGCTCCCAGTCATTTAACAGCTACCATGAGCTTCCTCTGTTCTTGGGGCAAGATAGAAAAATCGCAAGCATTAAAATCATTTCACAAGACAATCTGACTAAGCAAATCGTGAGCTCATGTGACTGTAATTCAGGGGTTCCTTTGGGACTGGGAACAGGATCATTTATTTCATTTGATGACCTGATCATAAATGAAACATACTTATCCTATGTTGATCAAATAAACAAGTCTTATTGATAAGTAGCATCTCAAGGCATTTGATGATAAAAGTAAATAAATGAAACAAAATAAAATAAAGTTTGGACTTCAAGCTTTTACTTTTGTAAAAAGATTGTGTGTGCTGCCTTGCCATCCTGCATGACTCACATTAGACCTGGGAGGTTTTGAGCCACCCAAAAACAATCAGATTGCTCTTCAGTCCCACACCTCCTACCTCCCATCTCCCTGCTGTACCCTGAGAAGCTACAAAGACCACAGAAGGCTTAATAGAGGTAACATTTTATGGGCGCTTTGAGAATCCCTCTCCATGAAATGCGACATTAACATAGACTTCCTTTTATTACTCAGCCCTCCAACCCACACCAGCCTCTTATCTTAGATGCAGACTTTTCATTTCCCTGTTGCTACAACTTTGCTAATTTGTTTTCCCTCAGTCCTCAGAGATTATAGCCAGAAAGCATGAGTGACAGGAGCCACAGTGTGCATTTCCCAAGGACCAAACATGTTCACGTACTAAGGGGCTAGTCTATTTTTAATCATATTGGGGAAACTGAATTTAGGAGACTCCTTAGGAATGGTGAAATTCATCTCAGGAGAGCTGAGAAAACCAGACCACCATGATGATAACATCAAGGGGCAGGAGAAGAGACACTAGTGGCTACAGAATCTGTACACAGCAGGGCTCAGGCAGCAATGGGTTGGGAAGAAATAATGATCCTAAAGGCCTAATTTTAAAACTCTATTTGCATGGGGCTGGCACTGTGGCACAGCAGCTTAAACCCCAGCCTGCAGCACCGGCATCCCATATGGGCACCAGTTTGAGTCATGGCTACTCCACTTCTCATCCAGCTCTCTGCTATGGCCTGGGAAAGCAGTAGAAGATGGCCCAAGTCCTTGGGCCGCTGCATTCACATGGGAGACCTGGAAGAAGCTGCTGACTCCTGGCTTCGGATCAGCTCAGCTCTGGCTGTTGTGATCATTTAGGGAGTGTGCTAGCGAAATGGAAGACCTCTCTCTGGCTCTACTTCTCTCTGTAACTCTTCCAAATAAATAAAAATAATTCTAAAAAAAAAAAGCTCTGTTTGCATAGTAAGCATGCTGCTTGTAAAGCCACCACAAAACCAGAGTTAGAGAAACCAAACACTAAACACTGGAGTTAGAGAAAAGATTTATTGTCAGGTGGGGGAAGCCCAAAGGGCTGGGGAGGAGAGAGGGCTCAGAAGAGAGATCAAGAGAGAACACCAGTGTGGGAAGCAGGTCCTATTAAACCTTTGCAGGGGGCGGGGAAACAGAAGTAGCAAATCCCATTAGAGTGGGGGTGGTGGAGCTGACACCTGTGTTAACCATCTGGTCACTGGCTTCTAGCAATGGCACGGGGGCTAGAGCCTATGATGGTGTCTGGGATATAGATCGCGCCACAGATAAGACCTGTGCCATTTTACCAACACTGCTTTCATGTAAGGTTGCACACTATGGGTAAGAAGGTAGAAAATTTTTGCGAAAGTTTTGATCCACATTTCAGAGGAAAGTGAAAATCTCTCTCTCTGTCTCTGCCTCTCTCTCTCTCTCTCTCTCTCTCTCACACACACACACACACACACACACACAATTTTGAAATTGGGTCATCTTTGGGATCCCTAAGGAGAAGTAGCCCTGCAGGAGAAGATGGAAAATGCTAAATGTTGAAGGATCAAAGATCAAATTAAACTGGCACTATGAAAGGAGGCTCTTGTGTGAATTATTGCTGACCTCGCCAGAGCATTGCATTAGCATTGGGACAGACTCCAGATTGCAGGAGTCGAAGGAGTGAAGAGGCAGTGAGCTAGTGGAAAGAGTGAGCTCGGACTGTTCTTGCAAAGGTTCCAGGAGGTGTGAGCTGAGTGGTGAGGCTATAAGCTACCCAGCACGTGAGTAGTGTGGAAGAACGCATGTGTATTGAGCTCCAGCAGTGTCGTACCTTATGTATGTGTGCATCACACAGATTTATATATTTAGTCCTCACAGAGCTCTACAAGGTGAATGACAGCACATGCATTTTGCTCATGGATAATATGCATTCTGAAGGGGTTAATTCTCTTGTAAGAGGAGTTAGAATTCAAGGCCATTTCCAAAGTTCTGTGCATGAGATCAAGGGCAGGCTGACTGGGTGTGATTTCCAGACAGACAGGGCTTAAGCCTGTTTATAGGTGGAAAGGAGCAAATCCTTCCTGCTCCGATCTCAGGCATCCCACTCTGAGCAGCTGGCTCTCCAGCACCCGAACTCCTAGTCTTCTACTCCCCCAGTCCTTGGGTCTGAGAAAAGAGATTTGGGGCTGGGTGGGGCGATTGCTGAGGTCAATGAGAATCAAAATGACCTCTGTCAGCTTGTTCTGTCCACAGGACAGGTCAGATGCTAAAAATTGTATTTCTCACTGTCCATGTCTGATTGGCCTCAAAAGTTGGCTTTTTGTTTACTGTATCAGCAAGTAGAATTTCACACTGAGCATGGGCACTCTTGCTCCAACCATTTTCCATAAGGTTATTTATATCCCTTCCCCAAATCCATGTGGCATTGGGGTTGTGTGGCTTGAATTATCTCCCAGGTGATAGGTCCCACACCACACACAGCCCAGAGGAGCACTGGCCGGGAACATGATTGGGTCACACAGCACACTGGGTACTCTGCTCCCCTCAAAAAGATACTTTTCAACAAAAATGTTCTATCCCATGCCTCTGCCCAAATGATACATAGATAAACTTTATTTTTCCCCATGTCCTTTATTTTACTACCTCATTATCTCCTGAAATGCAGAGTGCCTGGGAAAGATTGTAAGCCCCATGTCCCAGCTGAGAAAGCACTTAGAAAACATCACAAACCCTTATGACGATTGTCTAACGGCTGCAGCTGGAATTTATTTTCCCCTGACCTCTCTCTTACCTCTACCTTCAGCCTTCAGATCTGAATACACATGAAGTTTCCTGGGATTGTGGGAGCTCTGGAGAGGCATGGTTTTAGGAAGCATGGGATAAAATACACACATTGAGAATTGGATTTGGTGCCAGGTACCATGTTAGCTGCTTTACCTAACCCAGTTCGTTAAGCCTCCTATACCCACTCTAAGTTAAGGTATTCAAAATCATAATTAGTAAAGTGAAATCACCTACATAAGATCAGAAGTTAAGGTGAATGTAGTGGGAGCACCACACCTGGCACCAGCTTTGCATGGTGTCGGAGCCCAGGCCTGCCCCTGAGAATCCCAGTGTAGGATGGGTCCCACCTCAGTGTAATCTGACCAAGTTGTCTTGATCCCTGCAAGGTATGCTTCCCACCTGGCCTTCCAACCTGCAAGGCAACTGGGGAGATTTAAATGAAATCCAGACTTGAAAGATGCTTGGCCCCAGAGTGTCACACACCTGCTTTGTATTATGCACACCTGAGGGGCTGCCTCCTTTTGAAGAGCAAGTGAAACAGCATGAGGTCAATTTCTCTCTTCAGTGATGCTGTCAGTTAAGCACCTGCTGCCTTTCCCTGATCTCTGACCTAAAGCGCTGAGACTCACCCTTCCTTTCTACTCACCCTGTAAATATGGAGAACATATTTCCCTCCTCCACTCTATTGTGTATTCACTTCAAAACTCTTCACTGTTCCATGACTGCTGGGAAGTCAGAGTATACATAAGCACTCTTCACGACAAAGGAAACGTAAACCTGCTCACTCAGAATCTGAAGGGCTCCTTGGATAGGCATAAGAATCTGGAAGCAAGCTCTGAGAATCAAGAGAGCCACCTTCCGCCTGCTACTCCATGTTTGATCCCAAGGCAAGAAAATTACCTTCTGTGTGCTTCTGCTGCTCACCTCACTTCTTAAAGATCCTAGAACAGTCCCTCCTTCCTGCCACTATTGCAGAGAAGATAAATGACACCACATACTGTCATGTATGTCTACCTTGTGCCTCAGCTGGGTTCTAATCCCAACTGCCTTCTCACTAGCTATCGTGGCTTTAAGCAAATCACTTAAGCTTTCTGAATACAGGGGTTTGTTCTTTGAAAAGCAGCAAAGACTGCCTTGAGAATTATGGAGCACATTTCAGAGAGAGGCAGATTTATCATGGACTCACCTCAAGCTGGTTCATTACTGAAGTGCAAAAACAACCGTGGCATAAGGCAGTTCCACCTCTCTAAAGTCCTCAGCCCATACCTCGGCTGTCGGAGTGTGCATTCCAATGATTTCATCATGAACCCTAATTTCTTTAGCAAAGAAACATCTTGAACTGGTCAAGTGCAAAGTGACTTTCTCTGACCAGCAAGCAGGTGGCCATTCCATTTCCAGCCTCAGCACTGACCTCCTGCTGCCCAGGAAGGGGGAGTCAAGAGAAGGGAGGGTCAGGATTGGCCTGATGTCACTCAGCCCTATTTAAAGCCTCCTTTAGGCTCCTGCAGACAGCATGGATGCAGCTGGGGGAATGAGTTGTGGGTTTTTTTTTTCTTTTTCCCTTTAAAGACCAACACAGACACAGCTGTTGAGCAAAATGCCGCCTCTACAGAAAAACCCAAGCCTCAGACCCTTCAAGCAGAGGAAGAGCCTAGGTAAAGCTCTGGGGCAGCTCTCAGGGTAACTTGAGAGGCAGGAGAGGATGCAGCTTTCTCTAACTGTCCACTTACTCTTTTCTACCTGAACTCTCTACAGCAACCAGACAAGAGGAAGTTGCTGGAATCCGGGCAAAGTTCCCAAACAAGATCCCGGTAAGACTCACTGTCCTTCCCCAGAGGGGCCTGTATCTGTTCTTTGAAGAAACAAAGAGCAAACAATGGCCTCCCCCTCTCTTTCCCAAGTCCCTAAGATACTGGGGGCTCTGAGTCACATTCTTAGGCACCTGCCTCAGGAGAGACCCATGCTGATACTCTTGGCAGGTGATAGTGGAGCGCTACCCCAGAGAGAAGCTCCTGCCCCTGCTGGACAAAACCAAGTTCTTGGTTCCTCAGGAGCTGACCATGACCCAGTTTCTCAGCATCATACGGTAGGTGACCCAGCGGACATGTGTGTGTGTGTGTGAGAGAGAGAGAGAGAGAGAGAGAGAGAGAGAGAGAATTTTGCAACTATCTGTAAGTTTGCTGCATTCTTTGGTTGGTATGTGGGTATTCCAGAAGAAAAGGGGGTTGAGATCTTTTGGTGACTCACTCATCTTTTAGATTCTGTTGTGCCCTAAAAAGATGCTGTGAGAATTATTCTATTTTAAACAAGTGGGGAGAACCCCTTAGACAACAAGCAACAGACTGCAAGAGCTGCCGACATTTCGAAGAATTCCCTAGAGTAGTTCTGGCTCTGGAACTCATCCAGAAGATCCTTCTTCCAGAAACTGTGTGCAAGCCAGTCTGCGTGTCCCTGGCAGAGAGCAGCAGCTTTCCTCAGGGTTTGTGTTTCTGGCAGACGGGGAACTGTTTGAAAAGCAAAAGGTCCCTGCCCTTCTTAAAGCTTAAGAGGGTTAAGTGGTGTCCCTGATGCATGAGTGCAATTAGAAAATGACTTGTGAGTAAATACAGCCAGTGACTAAGTCCTCACCAGGTTGAAAAGTCTGTTTGGAGGCTGAATAGCCACTGTTGCCTGTTGCTTTGAGGGCTCACTGTGAATGAATGTCTTCGTTTTGTTTTGTTTCAAAGAGTTGTCGAAGTTTCCAAGTTCATTGTGAAGACAGATGCCTAAAGAGATATCAAAGTCGGGAGGAGATCCCATTGTATCAGTTAATCATTAGGTGACCCCTTGGGGATGAAGAACCCTTTTTCCTCTTCCCAGTCACTGCTCCTGGCTCCCAACCTACATCCTCATCCTCATCAATGTTTATTGAGCACCAACTGTATTCTGTGTGTCTTCTGGACTCTGTAGAGCCAACCGTGAACAAAATAGACAATAATGCCTGTCTGTGGCCTTCTCCCCCTTGGGGATGCCCAAACACTCATCAAAAGTGAGCTTGCGAAATGAAGGAGATGAGTGCAAGCTCGGGCACAGGAGCTTTTCCAACCCAGCCAAGGGCAGTATTCCCATCCCTAGTTCCACTCTTCTTCCACCCCCACCCCACTGCACAATGGTTGCTTTTCACCCAAAGGCACTGGGCAATAGCCAGAACGAATACCTTTGGTATTCTTTTAGGAGAAATTACCTGAGTATAAACTGAATCAGATTCCAGTCACTCCCCATGTCCCATTTATGTTTGATCTTATCCCACATCGAGGCTCAAAATTCTGAGAGTGCAGTGGGAAATTGCGTCTGTTTCACTAATTAGAGCAAATGGAAGTGTGTGGAAGGTGAGACTGAGCCTTCCTGTAGGCACCTATATTGATTCACTGTCAATCACTGCACACTGAATTGGAAGTCTGTTTACCCTTGACATTTAAAGGATGTCCAACTAAGCCTTGCTCCTTCTCCATCTCGTCGGTGGCAGAGGAGAAATGGCAAGGGAAGGGAAGGGCACACTTCAAGGCCTTTCCACGCCTGTTTAATTGTGAGAGGCTGGAAAGATAATGTATCATTCTTGCACCCTTGGGGAAATAGCTTTCTTTCTTTTTTTTTTTTTTTTTAAAGCTCAGAATTTACTTGGGGAAGCAAGAGAAATAAACAGGAACTTAAGGGTTTTATTAAGGGAGGAGGGGGTCAGAAAGATAAACTAGGAGTTCCATACCAGGCAGAGAGCATAACGGGGGCCATGTGCGGGAAGCTACAGGCCAGAAACCGCGTGGGCAGGAGCAGCAGCACAAACAGGTGGCCTGCATGAAGCCCACAGAAAGCAGGGAAGGGGGGGGCAGTGTTCTCCATGCCTCTTATTCACGGGGGAAATAGCTTTCAACAAGACCTAGGACTTATTTGCTTAGCATTATTGTGTTGGTATTCGCCTTAGTTAAAAATGGAATGGCCTCATCCTTTGGGCCCAACTGGGAGGCCCTGAGGATCTTAAAGTTCCAGGAACAGCTGTGGGCAATTCAGTTGTCTTGCACATCCTGAGCCTTCAGATTCCTAAGCTGATTCCCAGGTCAAGTCTCTCACTACCCTTCTCCCCTTCCCAGGAGCCGCATGGTCCTGAGGGCCACCGAAGCCTTTTACCTCCTGGTGGACAACAAGAGCTTGGTCAGCATGAGCATGACCATGGCAGAGATCTATCGGGACTACAAGGACAAGGACGGCTTTGTCTACATGACCTATGCCTCCCAGGAGATGTTTGGCTGCTTGGAGTTAGCAGTTCCCAGCAGTGGGAGCAGCCATGGGAACAGACCTGAAATCCCATTCACCCCATGTCAAGAGAAACTTGTCCTCTGATGGATGCATCAGACACTGTCAGAGGCACTGTTCTTGTGTGTATGTTGGAGGGGATTGGGAAGCAGGGATACATGGGGTGATCGGCTCCACCCAATGACTGCAAAGCTGTGGCCCTCCCTGGCTCACATTCTTTGTGCTTTCCGTTCTTACTTTAAGAAAAATGTGAGCTGCTTTTGCAAGTTTTGTAAATAGTCACTTTCTTCTAAATACGAAATGATGAGCTGTGCAACGGTTTTGTGACATGAGCTGGGCATGTATCTTAAGTGTTCCCTGTGGCAGAGGTGGGCAGGCCCTTGAGGAGTTATTTTACCCCCTACCTGTGGGCAGCTGTAGAGCAGCTCTGGCCTATGGAGCCAGGTGAAGTCAGAGGGAACTATGGCAAGCTCACCTGGGAGTGCCCTGACCTGTGTCTTCTGAGAGATTATTCTATTTCCTTGGCATTTACTCTATGTGGTTATTTGTTTTTATTTCCTTTTTGTTAAGCTATGCTACACATTTATGCCAAAGTTGAAATTTCTCAATATAAAGTCATTTAAACAATTTACTTTGTGTCAAGCTTCATTCTAAGCAATTTCCTTTTCACAAATCCATGGTTATCTATTGTCAACCATCATTTTACAGATAGAGAAACTGAGACCCAAAACCAAGAACCATTTCCATATTCACACACCTAGGACTTGAGGTTGAGTATGGCTGTAGAAGCCATGCTACTACCCTTCTGCTAGGTTCCCTAAGACTCGGTTACTCTTCTTGAGGAATCCCTACCAGATCCTTGAGCTACAGTGTGGAGTGATGCTAACACAGCTTGCAGGGAGCCTGAGGACGACTAAGGGGTGCAGTGGAGCTCCATGAACGCACTCATAGTGGAGTTCTCAGCAGCAACAGTAGAAACAAGTGCCCCAGGTCATGCTTGCAGGACACTAATTTTTATTTTTATTTTTTTAGATTTATCCATTTGAAAGGCAGAATTACAGAGAGGCAGAGGCAGAGATAGAGATTCTCCATCCAGTTGTTCACCCCTGAAATAGCTGCAATGGCTGGGGCTGGGCTGATCCAAAGCCAGGAGCTTTCTCCGGGTCTCTCACACCGTTGCAGGGGCCCAAGCACTTGGGCCATCCTCTACTGTCCCCCCAGGCCATGGCAGAGAGCTAGATCAGAAGTGGAGTAGCCGGGTCTCAAACGGGCATCTATATGGGATGCCAACACTGTAGGTAGTGACTTCACCTGCCAAGCCACAGCATCGGCCCTTGGGACATTAATTTTATAGGAAGTGTAGATAAGAGTTTTTCTAGGAAGGAGTGTTATTTAATCATCTTCAGCAAACACTGAGCATTTACTATTTGCTAAGCACTATTCTGGGTTCTGGAGATATAGCACTGAACAAGATAGGCAAGGTCTCGGGCCTCATAGAGTTCTCTTTAATTCCAGCCAGAGAAGAAAGATGATATTCAGATACTTAGGAGTATAATAAAGAAGGAAAACCAGAATGACTGGTAGATGGAATAATTTTCACTGGGACCAAGTGACAAAGTGGAGGTAGAGTATGCCAGGCAGAAGGAAGGGTGGCTGAAGGTTTGAAAGTCTGCAGGGTTTTGCAAACAGAAAAGATTGTAGCGGGGAGTGAGAAGTTAGGCAATCTCTGTAGGACCCTGTGAATTTTGTTAAAGGCTTTGGACTTTAGTTTAAATGTTGGAGGATGGGAAAAAAGGAGGAGAGAAGTTCTGTTGAGGTACAGAAAATGTGTGGGCTCACTCCGGTTCCTCAGCAATGCTGGCCCTGGCATATCCCAGCTCCCTCTGGAGGGTCTGCTGCTCCCTGCTCCTAGCTGCTCCAAGCTGGTCTTTCCCTTCCTGCCCTGCCAGCTCTAATCAGTTCCCCTGTCATCCTTCATCCCCCGTCATCTTTGTCCTACACCAAGTAAAAACATTGTCTCCCAGACTCATTCTCCAGACAGATCCTTGTTTCACTTGATCCATTAATATTCTTCCCACATAAGTATACTATGATTGACATTGAGCTTGATGAGGGATAAGTGGTCCTGGACATTTACCCAACTGCCCATGCCCAGGGATGCCCCTCTTGCCCTCAGCTTCTCCACTGCCTTGGTCTTTCTTGAATCACAGGATCTTTAGGATTGTCATCATACGGCAAGGAGAGAGGACCTCCCCTGGGTTTGTAGCTAGATGGCTCTTATATTTTGTTTGGGCTCCAAAATCCATTTGATGTAGCTTTCCCTCATACATTAACCTTTCTGGTTAATGTGCATGATGTTAAGGATGGATTCAGATGTCTTGTTTAGGGTGGGCATTGCATTACCAGCCAAAACTCCGTGCATAAAGCAGCCATTTTGCTATGCCCATGAAGTCTCTGGTAAGGGAAATGCAAAGTAGCAATAGTTTGTCTCTGCTCCTTGACATCAGCAGACTCCACAAAAGACCTGAAAAGCTGGGCATGACTCAGAGGGCTGAGACTGAAGTCATCTGGAGGCTTCTCGTTTACTTTCCTAGACTGGGATGACTCAAGGCTGGGTCCAGCTGGAACCAAAGACTGGCAGGGCTCCAAGTGGCCTCTCAGCTCGACAGCTGGGTTCCAGATGAGAGCATCCTCAGAAGGAGCAGCTGGACAGCAGATGATCCAGGAAAGCCAGACAGAAGCTGGCCTGTCTATAGGAGGTTCATTTCAATCATTTTTCAGTCTGATATTGTCCTACACAGATATATTATTGGGAATTTATACTTCTGTGAATTATGATCACATTTCTTTAAGGCTATTCATAATTTTCTATTGATTTTTATTATAGTAACTCATTATATGCCATGTGTATTAAGAATAACTCTTACTTCCTGTTAATATCTATAGCAGTTTTTTCCATGTGGATGCTTTTTATGTGATCATTAGCTCAGTGGCTTGAGGCTCACAATGTGACTAGACTCTCCCTTCTCCAACATGATTAGAAGTACGCAGTCATCCTGCATTTACTTCTCTCACTATGCTTGCATTATGTTTACACTTACTTGAACCAAATTAAATTCAAGAAAGTTTTCAGGATCCATTTTTTTCCAATTGCCATACCTGAATTTACTAAGCACTCAGATTGTCACACATGAATTTACTGAATAATCTCCCTAAAAGCGCCTTAAGAATGTGAACTTGACTTGGGGGGAGGGGCAGTATTTCTCATGGTCCCCAAAATGATAAATACATTTTTGGTAGTTGGTACTTAAAGATAATTTAAAACAAAAAACAACTGTAGTATCAACCTCAGAGGGAGAACCCAGGACTGTGGAATTTTGCTGAGTGTTTTCACAGACTGGGTGGTAGGGGTGGGCAACCTATTGTAAGGCTTGTTATTCACCCCAACTCATAAAATAAGTGAGGGCTATTACTGAAAATGGTGCCATCTCATCTGAGGTGCCATCTTAGGCTCTGGCCCAGTCGCCATCTTGTACAATAAGTTTTGGTCTCAGTTCCTAAGTTCAGCCTGGCTTACTAGAAGGCAGGTGACTAAATGGTCCAACCACAAGTGTCAACTCCACCCCTACCCTAACAAGATTCGCTGCTCCCACTTCCTTATCTCTGCAAGGCTATAACAAGACCTGTTTTTCTACACAGGTCCTCTCTCCCACCCTCTCTCTCCAACCTGTCATGTTCCTCGCCCCCACTGACAAAACCTTTTCCCTTACTCCAGTGTTTGGTGTGTTTTGTGGTAGTCTTTCGAGGGCTGGAAGGAAAATGCAGCTTCTTATGTCACCACTAAAATGGGAGTTATAGATAACCCCAAGTTCACTTGAATGCCTGAATTGGAGGTCAGCAAACACATTCATGGACTATTTGACCCAGAGCTTATATTTATAAATAAAGTATTATTGACATGTAGTCATGCCCACTGGTCTCTAGAGATTTTTTGCTCAAATGACAGAGTTGAGTAGTTGGCGAAAGACCACAGCTGAGGACTGTAAAAAGTTTGTGGAAAAATGGAATCAAAAACGTGTTTGGTACAAAATATACTTTGAAATCCATGCATATGCAGATAAAATCTTTTAAAGAAAATGTCACTGTGCACTTACTCCTCATGTAGGATCTCTGTCCTTAGTGTGGTGTACATTGTGATTTAATGCTATAACTAGTACTCAAACAGTATTTTTCACTTTGTGTTTCTATGTGGGTGCAAACTGTTGAAACCTTTACTTAATATATGCTAAACTGATCTTCTGTATATAAAGAGAATTGAAAATGAATCTTGATGTGAATGGAAGGGGAGAGGGAGTGGGAAAGGGGAGGATTGCAGGTGGGAGGGAAGTTATGGGGGGGGGGGAGACATTGTAATCCATAAGCTGTACTTTGAAAATTTATATTCATTAAAAAAAAGTAAAAAAAATGTTTGCTGACCCCTGCTATAGGATTATAGTAACAGTTCTACCATCAAGATATCCTGGGAGGGGAAGGGTGTAGGGGATAAATCACAATAGTCTTGCTGCTGTTGTTTTTGTCCTGCATGAGATAAGAGACTTCCCAAGTCTACCTGAAGGGTAACACATATGGACACATCCAAAGTCCTTCATAGATCACATATTTTCTTTTTTTTAAAGATTTATTTAATTAATTTATTTGAAAATCAGAGTTGCACACAGTAGAAGCAGAGAGGAGAGAAGAGAGAGGTCTTCCATCCAGTGGTTCACTCCCCAGATGGCCACAATGGCCGGAGCAGTGCCCATCCGAAGCCAGGAGCCAGGAGCTTCTTCCAGGTCTCCCACATGGGTGCAGGGGCCCAAGGACTTGGGCCATCTTACACTGCTTTTCCAGGCCATAGCAGAGAGCTGGATCAGAAGAGGAGAAGCCAGGACTAGAACTGGTGTCCATATGGAATGCCGGCCCTTCAGGCCAGGGCTTTAACCCACTGTGCCACAGCACTGGCCCTGATCACATAAGTTCTTGATCATGGCCTTATCTTCACAAGTCTTCTCCATGCCCCTTCATCCTTTGTTTTCTTCTAGAATATGTATGAGTTATTTCTAGGTGTGTACTGCTTTGTATCACAAACAAAAGGAGCCAGTTGTACCTATTTCCCAGGAAACCATCTTGGTGGGAAGACAGGATTTTTCACAGCAGTTAGACCAGGTCTAGGACAGAATCTCCCAATCTTCACATGACTGAGATTTGGGCAAGTAATTCTCTGTTGTGGGAGGCTACCATCTGCCTAAGGGATGTTTAGCAGCATCCCTGGCATCTATTAAATAGATGTCATATATCCCCTTATAAAGATACTAAATATTTCTCCAAACATAGCCCAATGTCTCTGAGGGAGAGTTGGTGTGGTAATACTGCCCTCTGTAAGAACCATTGTCTACAGTCTACTCAGTCTCCAAATGTGGCCTGTAGACCTGTAGCATCAGCATTACCTGGGGGCTTGTTAAAAATGCAGCACCTTGGGGCTGGCATTGAGGCATGGAGGGTTAAGCTGCTGCCTGCAGCACGGGCATCCCATACAGGCACTTGTTCAAGTCTTGGGTGCTCCTCTCAGATCCATCTCCCTGCTGTTGCACC